GCACATCTAATAATAATAATCTTGGCATTTGACCCAGCGCCTTATCAGGTCTTCGAGATGTCTCAAAGCGCTTCATGGGGTACACTGTAAAGTGAATTGACTGTATATTTTGTGGGTAAAATGTATAGGAACATAGGAATTTGCTTGGCAAAAGAAGACCAAGGTCCATCTAGTTCACCTTCCACCATCCTGGCAGTCACTTGACATGTTCTGTCCCCAAACTATATACTGTATAACATACTGTTATTATTTTCAAGCAGAAATTTTCTGTTTCCATATGTAGTCTCAGCCCAGCTCAGTCTCTCCCACTCATCCCTGGGGGGGGAATCAGGAGTCAGAGCACCCCCACCCCCCCATCCTCTGCATCAGGGACCTTTGAGCTCATTGGCCAAGCTACACTCAAGGACTATAATAATCCTTGCATTTGACCCAGCGCTTTATCACATGGTTGAGACGTCTCGAAGCGCTTCGCAGAATACACTGTAAAGTGGAGTGACTGTGTATTTTGTGGGCGAAACATGGCAGCCAATTCTGCACAATGACATAACATAACATGTCGGAGCAGGAGGAGGCCATTCGGCCCTTCGAGCCTGCCCCGCCATTCAATCATGGCTGATCTTCTAATCTAACTCCAGCTAATAACCTGACCCGGCCTTACCCCCATATCCCCCCTCCCCTGCCTTACCCCCATATCCCTTAATCCCTTTTGCAATAAGAAATTCTCTCAGTCTTGAATATGTTCAAAGACTGAGCGTCAACAGCCCTTTGGGGTAGTGAGTTCCATACATTCACCCCTTTGAGTGAAGAAGTTCTTCCTCAACTCAGTGATTTTAAGGTTGTGACCCCTGGTTTTAGTTTCTCCAACCGGGGAAACAATCTCCCACTATCTACTCTATGCCCTTTGATGATCTTATAGGTTTCTATAAGAGCCCCTCTAATTCTTCTATATTTTAGAGAATATAGGCCCAAATTGGTCATCCTATCCTCGTAACTCAACCCCTTCATCCCTGGCACTAACCTAATAAATCTACACTGCACCCCCTCCAAGGCAAGTACATCCTTCTTTAAATAAGGAGACCAAAACTGCACACAGTATTCCAGGTGTGGTCTCACAGGGCCCTATACAGTTACAGCGAGACTTCCCTACTCTTATACTCTAATTCTTTCCGACGTCCCCACAGACAACAACAACAACAACAAGGTTACACTTGTATAGCGCCTTTCATATCAGGAGGACGTCCCAAGGCGCTGGACAGTGACAGCATTTCAGACAGTAGTGGATTGAGTGATCAATTTTGTTTGGAGGGATTATTACCCCCAGAAAGCGATCCACCAATCGACTAGCAACCGGGTTCCTACTTACTGCTTACCAGCAGGAGTATGTGTGTGTGTTTGTGTGTGTGTCTATTCTGTGAAGCGCTTTGAGACGCTGAGAAGACGTGAAAAGCGCTATATCAAATGCAAGGATTATTATTATTATCATTATTATTATTATATGAGGTCCAAGTCCCAACGTGGATGCTTGAACCCACAAACCTCTGACTCGGAAGCGAGAGCGCGAGCGACTGAGCCAGGTTGAGGAATACTTATTACTCTTCTCTCTCTCTCTCTCCAATGTGCCTCTGAAGCCAGGGTAGCGTATTGCTTGACGCAGACACACACCATTTACAATGTGACCCCCTATGGATGTGTACGTGGGGTCGAGGCGAGCAGCCCTATTAATAAGAAATGTTATGACACCTCGGAAATGCATGACATCTCCTCACAGATTTGGCCGTTACTGCCCTGAGGCAACACATCAAGTCACCTGTCAACACTCCCAGTCACAGTGAGTTACTGCCCAGCGTCCCATTGCTCAGTGGTTAGAGCACTCGCATCGCAAGCGGAGACTTGGGTTCGGTTGATTCCTGGGCGAGACAGGGGAAACCTTAGGCGAGTTTCCTTACTATACACACACACACTCAGACTCACACACACTCAGACACACACTCACTCAGACACACACATTCAGACACACACACTCAGACACACAGACACTCAGACACACACACAAACACACTCAGACACACACTCACTCAAATACACACACTCAGACACACACACACACTCAGACACACACACTCAGACACACACACACACTCAGACACACACACACTCAGACACACACACACACTCAGACACACACACACTCAGACACACACACACACTCAGACACACACCACACTCAGACACACACACACACTCAGACACACACACTCAGACACACACACTCAGACACACACACACACTCAGACACACACACACACTCAGACACACACACACACACTCCCACACACACCCGACTGTGTTTCCCAGCAGTCAGTAGGAACCCGCTTATTAGTCGATTGGGGAATCACTTTCTGGGGTTAATGATCCCTTTCAATAAATAAATAATCTGGTCACTCAATCCACGACTGTTTGTGGGGACGTCGCTGGGCGCAATTGGCAAAACACACAGTCACTACACTTTACAGTGTATCCTGTGAAGAGCTTTGAGACGTCACAAAGATGTGATCAGGCACTGGGTAAATGCCAGGATCAATTATTATTAACTATTATATTATTAAATATCAGCTCGCTCCTGGTGATGGGAATCCAATGACGGGAAACTGAGCGACAAACAAGGGATTAGTTAATAGAGACTTGATGTGCAAACTCACTCACTCCCCTCCCCCACTTCTCGTTTCTCACTGCACTCATCTTCCTCCCTGTTGTGGGTTGACTTCTAGCCAACCCTCTTCACGTTATCTCTCTAACCCGCATGGTGAAGTGAACCGATTCAGATGCAAATAATAAGCAGAGGATAACTGGAGGAATTCTCGTCTTCATTAGGTGCAGACAGACTGATGCTCGAGAGCAGTTGGGGAAGCCCTGTATTATCATAATAATAATAATAATCCTTGCATTTGACTCAGCGCCTCATCACGTCATTGAAACGTCTCAAAGCGCTTCACAGGATACACTGTAAAGTGACTTGACTGTGTATGTTGTGGGTGAAACCCGACAGCCAATTGCGCCCAGCGACGTCTCACAAACAATCGTAGGTTGAGTGACCAAATTATTATTATTAATTAATAATTATTATTATCATTTTGAAGGGAAAGTAATCCGCCAATCGACTAACAAGCGGGTTCCTACTTATTGCTAGGTAAACAGAGGTGTGTCTGTGTGTGCGGAGAGTAAGGAAACTTGCCTAAGGTTTGCACTGACCCGGCTGGGAATCGAACCCGGGTCCTCTTGTTTGCTAACCACTATGCTTCAGGACTCCACATGGTTCCTTCAAATGTATTATTGTTGCCGTGTGCTATTGAGATCCCTTGACAGAACCACACGACGGATGAGAGAGGAAGAGTTAAGTTGGATTGAGGCCAAAATGTGGGTTTCTTGACAACTGGAGTCTCTCTCTTCACACTCTATGATCCCAGCAATCTCCCTATTGTAATATTTCAGTGGCAAAGTGGATAAGGGCCCATTGAGCTACACCTGGTCTCTGTTTTGTGAATGCTCGGAAGCGTATATTAACAGGTTACGGCAAACAGCTGCAGGGATAATTAATGTTCACTCTTATACCTTATCGCTTCCAAACCTCTCCAACTCCCACAGCGCAATTTAATTCAGCTGTACATGTGCATTCGATACCTCACTCTTACCATGCCAAAGTTGGGGGCAGGGAATCCTCCCCCTCAGCTCCTGTTAACCCTGCAGCCAAAGCACTAACTAACTAACTAACTCACCAACCAACCAACTAACTAACTAACTAACTAACGGGGAGGGGGGGTCCGAGCTAGACAAGCAGCGGGAAAGCTTGGCCAGACAGCGCTCGCGCTCTCTCCTCTCTCTCTCTCTCTCGATGGCTGAGCTGTGTGTGGGTTTAGCTGGTTAGACTCCAGCAATTACCCCATCGCACACTCTGGGCTCCCTCAAGCCTTGGCTCTCGTCCAACCTGCGCCTAATACTCTCCGGAATTAGGTAAGCAGGGTCGTCCCTCCAGGGAGAGAGAGAGAGAGAGCGCATTCATCCCAACAATCTCTCTCTGGGATTTCCTTGTGTAGGTGGGATGCAGGGAATTTGGAGACTCTTAAGCAAGGTCCTGTCTGCCTGTTCAGGTGGATGGAAAAAGATTTTCCGCAAAAAGAAAAGGGAGTTTCTGTCTCCAGGTCCTGGCCGATAATCCCCCCAATGAAATCGCTGGCTCAACAACCCATGACTGTTTGTGGGACGTCACTAGTTGCAAATCGGCTGCTGCGTTTCGCACTCAAAACACACAGTCACTGCAATTTACAGTATATCCTGTGAAGCGCTTTGCAACGTCCTCTGATGTGAAAGGCACTGGATGGGATGTCTCACGACCCTCCTCTTTGACCAATCGCACCTTCGGTCACCCTCCTGCCCCCACCCTCCACCCCATCCTGATCCCAACCCCCAGCTCGGGTCCAAACCCCTGACTGTCCACGCCTGGGCACGTCCCTCTGACGTGAAAGGCACTGGGTGAATGTCAAGTGTTGTAGTTGTTGTTGACTTACCTGAAGCCAATATAATGGACAAAGACTCCAGCCAACATGATGAAGATACAGTAACCGAAGACCTTTAGATTCCTGCTGCGTCGCTGTGTGCTGTGAAAGGCTGCCTGCTGGCTGGCACTGGGCTGGTGGAACTGTTCCCAGTACCTTTGCTGTTCATCTTCAAAACTGTGGGAAAGCATTCAGGAAGGAAAAGGACAGAAAAATAAGGCTTGAGCCGTCATGATATTATTATTATTATTGTTGTTGTGGAGTCCTGTAGCTCAGTGGTTAGAGCACTCGCATCGCAAGCGAGAGGACTTGGGTTCGATTCCCGGCAGGGCGATACGTGGGGCGAGTTTCCTTACTCCACACACATACGTGCGCCTCTATTTTCCCAGCAGTAAGTAGGAACTTGGTTGTTAGTCAATTGGTGGATCACTTTTCCAGGGATAATAATGCCTTCAAAAAAAATTCATGGCTGTTTGTGGGACACTGCTGTGTGCAAATGGCTGCCGCCTTTCGCCTACGAAATATAGAATCACTACACTTTACAGTGTATCCTGTGAAGCGCTTTGAGACGTCTCGAAGACGTGATAAGGCGCTGGATCAAATGCAAGGATTATTATTATTCCAGTAAACCTCATGTAAGTCGAATCAGTTGGGACCAGATATTTGCCCACAAGGTACACAGTCACTGCACTTTACAGTGTATCCTGTGAAGTGGGTTAAGATGTGAAAGGCCCCGTATCAAATGCAAGGATTATTATTGTCAGAACTCGCACTTTCCAAGCACCTTTCCCAAGGGTGTGACATCCTGACACGCTTCACACGTTTCATTACAACATTACATCATAGAATCCTACAACACAGAAGGAAGCCATTTGGGCCATCTTTGAAAGAGCTATCCAACTGGTACCCGCTCTCCCCCAAAGTCCTCCAAAGTTTTCCTTTTCAAGCCCCTATCCAATTCTCTTTTGAAAGCTACTATTGAATCTGCTTTCAGGCAATGAGTTCCAGACCGTAACAATCCTCTATGTAAAAAAATCTCTCCCGTTTCTCTTCTAATTATCTTAAGTCTGCGTCCTCTGGTTACCGACCCGCCTGCCCACGGAAACGGTTTCTCTTTATTGATTCTCTCAAAACCCCTCATAATTTTGAATACCTCGATTAAACCTGGTCTTAAACGTTCCCTGCTCTAAGGAGAAAAATCTCTAGTCTATGTATCCACATCCCTCTCCCCACATCATGCGGCTCATTGTAATCCAGAAGTGCTGCCTCTTCCCTGATCTGTGAACTCACACCAGTGTCTGAGACGTTACTGGCGGCTAAGGCACTGATCACAATTCCAGATCTCTTCAAATCCACCCCCACCTTCCCAAGAGGCGAGTTCCGTTTCAGATGTGAGCTCTCTCTCTCTCTTTCTCTCTCGCTCTCTCCCAGCTCTCAGCTTACACAGTAAATCACTGGCTTTATAACTGTGTTGACAACCAGATTGGCCATTCGCTAGCTTTTCGGTCTTCTATTCTACTCCTGTGGTCCTTGGCACCGCTTTCTCTCTCAAGCCCAGAAAGGTGGATCAATCCATTTATACTTCTCCAGCCAAGTTCACTGCTTCCCGCTGTCTGTGAGCAATAGTGTGGTTTGGTTGGGAGAGAGTGAGAGAGAGGAGGATAGAGGATAGAGGAGAGGGATAAGTACTCAGATCTATCAGCACAGAGAGATCCTGATCAGAAGTTTTGCAGGAAGATATTAAGAGTCAGAGGTTATTATTAGAGGCTGCCATACCAGGCTTGTGGTGAGCAATTCCCTCCACAGATTTTTTTATTTCTAGTTATTGTAACAAATCTTTCTGCTTCCCATTAGCTCCTGAGGAAATGGGAGATCTCATAGGCCTTACAAAAATAAGATTTTTGCACAACAAGGACTCTGCTCACTTAGATGGGACCTAATAGAGGCAGGGGAATCCTCCCCCTCAGCTCCTGTTAACCCTACAGCCAAAGCCCCAACTAACGGGGTGCGGGGTCCTAGCTGGACAAGCAGCGGGAAAAATTACCAGAAAGGGCTCTCTCTCGATGGCCGAGCTATGTGTGGGTTTATCTGGTTAGACACCAGGAGTTACCCCAACGCACACCCTGGGCTCCCCCCAAGCCTTGGCTCTCATTCAACCTGCGCCTAATACTCTCTGGAATTAGATAAGCAGGGGGCGTCCCTCCAGGGGGAGAGAGAGAGAGAGAGCGCATTTCATCCCAACAATCTCTCTCGGGGATTTCCATGTGTAGGTGGGATGTTGGGGAATTCTCAGTTGGGTTTGGAGACTCCGGCCTGCTCCACATCCACCATTGGTGGTCAGGCCTTCAGCCTCTCTGCCCCGCACCCTCTGGAACTCCATGCCATATTCCCTTTGCCTCGCTCCCTCCCTCACCTCCTTCGAGGCCCGTCTCAAGACCCTCCTCTTCAACCGCTCCTTTGGTCACCCTCCCACCTCCACCCTCCCTGCCTCCACCTCCTCCAGATCCCAAGCACTAGCTTGGGTCCAAATCCCTGACTGTCCAGCGCCCTGGGATGTTCTCCTGAAGTGAAAGGCCCTGGGTGAATGTCATTTGTTGTTTGTTGTTGACCGATCTTGTGACAACCTTCTGCAAAGTCGGAGCCAGACTGGCAGTGCGTGTGGTGTGAATGCATTCCTCACACTGGGCTATTAGACTGTAGACGTGAAATACTTTCCCAACAAAGAGAAAGGCTCGTGTAAGCGTCCGAGGGCTGTGTCTATACAGTCAGAAGCACGTACACAAACACACAGGGAAATGTTTTCAATGCTATTCCAAGCAAAAAGTGAAGATATTTTACAGTTATTTGTCTATGTCGCACGGACCAGATGCTTTTATAATAATAAATAATAATCCTCGTGTTTGATGCAGTGCCTGATCACATCTTCAAGACGTCTCAAAGCGCTTCACAGGATACACTGTAAAGTATAGTGACTGTATATGTTGTGGGCGAAATGCGGCAGTCAATCGCGCACAGGTCCCCATAAACAGCCGTGGACTGAATGGGCAAATTATTATTAATTTTTTTTGAAGGAATTATTACCCCCAGAAACGTGATCCACCAATCCACTAACAACCAACTTCCTACTTACTCCTAGTAAACAGAGGCATGTGTGTGTGTGTGTGGGGGGAGTAAGGAAACTTGCCCAATTTTTCACTCTGACCTGCCCGGGAATCGAACCCAGGTCCTCTGGCTTGCAAGGTGAGGGCTCTAACCACTGAGCTACTGAACTGCAGTTTTACCTCCCTTTCCCCACTACACACCCTCCTTCCCCCTTCGCCTCCCCCCTCTCCTGCCTCGCCGAAAAATCTTTTTAAAGAAGCTTCTGAATAGGGAGCGAGTTGGCAGGTCAGTGACTGATTGATGCAGGCAAATTGACAGACTGACAGCACAAAGGTGTGGGGGGGGCGGCGGGGGAGTGGGGGGGGTGAACGAGAAAGAAAAATACAAAACAAGAGAGGCATGAAAAGATTTCTGCAAATAAAAGACCTGTTGGGATTACGAGGTGTCGTTAACAAGGCTAAAGGCTGCGCTTCGATGCCAACAAGTGGGTTTAGAAACCTTGGTCTCTCTCGCAGTCCAGCGTTTGTGTGTGTTCTCAAAGTTCTGCGTCTCCTCACAGCTGCCACTGATAAAGACGTCCCTCAAGCATGGATCCGACTGCTTTTGCTGGTGAATGGAGGAGTTTAAAAGGCTGACATATGCTACCATCAGCTTCTTTTATCCAGCACTCAACACTCCCCAACACCAAATGCATTCCTCACAGGATGACTGGGCGTAAAGAGGCTTTACGTATTGTATCTCGCTCTAAGCTCCAGCTAAAAGCATTCGCCTAAAAGTACTTCAAATCTCACCCCCTCACCCAGATATCCATTTTCTTGCATTTATATAGCGGTCTCTCACTCACACAGGGTAGCGTCCCAGAGCGCATTGGTTAGCGCAAGCAAACCTTAGGCAAGTTTCCTTGCTCCACACACACGCGCGCCTCTTTTGACCTAGCAGTAAGTAGGAACCCGCTTGTTAGTCGATCAGCGGATCCTTTTCTGGGGGTAATAATCCCTCAAAAATAAATAATAATAAATAAAATAATAATGTGGTCACTCAATCCACAACTGTTTGTGGGGACGTCGCTGTGCATAACTGACTGGCTGCGTTTTGCCCACAAAATACACAATAACTCCACTTCAAAGTATATTTTGTGAAGCAGGTAGTGGAGTAGGGTGTGAGCAGGTTATAATAATCCTTGCATTTGATACAGCGCCTTATCACTTTGATGGGATGTCTCAAAGCGCTTCAATGAATATACTGTAAAGTGGAGTGACTGTGTATTTTGTGAGCGAAACACAGCAGCCGATTACACACAGCAACGTCAGTCATGGATTGAGAGACCAAATTATTATTATTTTCTTTGAAGGGATTATCCCCCCCTGAAAGAAATCCACCGATCGACCAACAACCGGGTTCCTAGTTACTAGGCAAACAGAGGTGTGTGGAGTAAGGAAACTTCCCTAAGGTTTTACCCTGGCCAGGAATCAGACCCGGGTCCTCCCGCTTGTGAGGACAGCACGATAACGACCACACTACAGAGTCAGCCACTGCCCTTAACAGCAATCACCTGTGAAGCGTTTTGAACTAATTCAATGTAATCGATTCTGGCACAAATACGAGAATTAGTATCTTAGTAATAAGATACCAGGCTTGCCTTGTATCACCGCATATCTCTTATTCCTGTCTTAAATGTTTCTTAACACAATCTCCCTCGTCTGAGGAGCACATTCCCAAACTCACGGACTCATGGCCCTCTGATAAATAGACCTAAACTGCCCCTTTGACCTATGTTAATTGGAAATAAATTAGAACGTCAAAACAGCACTCCATTAATCAGGGTAATGGCTGCCTCGCAGGTGGGCAGTCTGGGCACTTTGCTGCCGGAAGGTAACCCAAGACCTTCACAAGCCCTTTACATGCCGACAGTCACCCACAGCGAGGCACAGGTGACTGACCAGACTAAAGAGTCCTGGTTACCACACACACCCACACACACTGCACACACACACCCCACATACACACCCACACACACGGCACACACACCACACACATCCACACCACACCCCACATACCCACCACACACACACTGC